TCACCACAGGGGCCTTGATCTGCCCCCTCATGCCCTTTCCCTCCCCCCCTGCCCTTCCACCAAAACAGACTAACCAACTGCATGCAGCTCTCCATGCTGCCAAGCTGTGCTTCTCACTTCCTACATGCTGTGCTGCGGCTGCGTGCATGCACAGGGCATTTATCGGCCATATTATTGGCCATATCAGGCCGATTTCCAATACAGTCAATTTTCTTTATATTGGAGCTGATCCAATATCGGACTGATGTATCAGTGCACCTCTAATTTTAACAATAATATGTGAGACAAAAATGCTTGACTAACTATATGCAAGTGGATTGAGAAGAATTTTTAGTAGAAAGATTAGTATTTGCTACCATATTTTAGGCTTATTAAATGCTTTTATTTTAAGATGAACAGTCTCCTGAAACAAATAAAAATTCTCTTTTCTTATACAGTAAAAGCCGTGTTATCTGGCACTTTATTAACTGGCATGCTCTACTAACTGGCATGCTGGTTAACATGGCAAGGTTTGCTGAGTCCTCACTTCGCCATATTTGGGCCATAGCCTGGGGCAAAGCAGCCTGTGTGGGGCCCTGCTCTCTGTCCCCCAGCACACTGACGCCAGGGAGTGAAAGCCTGGCGCACCAGACGTGGCAGCCCGACCAGGCAAAGACGCCTCTCAGGTAACCAGCATATTTGGTTATTCAGAACCCCCTATTTCCCATGGATGTTGGATAACAGAACTTTTGCTGTTTTGATTTTTGTTCAAATAGTAATTTTTAGTGCTAATTATGATTGTATCAACTGTTCCTTAACTTGTGTAGCAAAGGTGAGACCACACATGAGAAACAGTTAACAAAAATACTGTTACAATTACAAAGGATGGATTCTCCATTGCACTTTACCTTACATTGTAATCTGTGCAAAAAGTGTATAAAGCAAGTGCTAAAGACTACCAAAGTAGAAAAGTACCATTTTATACCCAACTCTTTGTATCCACTTCAGGCTAGTGCAAATTACTTCGTAAGATGCAAAGTAACAGAGAACTAGCCCTGAGTTTTAGTCTTACTAATCAAAATGTGAATTATTCCATTCACAAATTCAGCACCAGTCTGTAAAAAAATATCTCTTACTTGGTTTGAATTTCCCTGAAACTATCCATATTAATCACTTCATTTTGTACATAAACACTGTTACCAGAGCCTGGTCTCCATACATTTTTTGTATTGTCATAATTATGTCTGTTTTAATATGATTTCCCTTCCTTAATTTTTACTGGTACAGTTTTACTCATACGACCACTTTATGTGAATACATTTATATTAGTATACATGTACTGATATTGAGAGAGCTCATTCCCCTTCCTTGATAGGAACGTGCTAGATAGTCTAAGCATTTTTACCAGTGTATTTGTATAACTGCATCCACGCTAGGAAGTTGTTACCACCTAAACATGCTGGTATAGTTTTTATAATATATATTAGCATAGTTAAAGCAAACTTGCCATCCTAATTCATACTGATGATCCTACATGATTACTGGTACTTGTTTAAGAGTATATTTTCTAGAAAGCAAGAATGTCTATTTTTCAAAGTTATGTAAACTTTTTGGGGTGAATATGGGAAGCGTATGTCCTTAGATACTGTTAGAAAGGAGTCATTCCAATGTTGTAAATCATGTGCATGTGTGTCAAGAAGTATGTGTGTACTCACTCACTCACTCACTCACTCACTCACTCACTCACTCAAAAGGTATACCATACTGATAAAACATTTGCTATTCTATAGATTGGAATTGTCACAATTTAATCTAACCACAAGAGGGAGCACTAAAACCAGCTTCAGATAAACATTTTAAGACCTAGATCAATTCTAGTTGAGCCAGACACAGCTCCACTGACTTTATACAATTGTACCCCTGCTCCATTTGTGAATTTTCGCCTAGATTATACTTGTAAAAGAACAGTTTCTGCAAGAACCAAAAAGATTTGTGGAATAATTTCTCTTGTTCTTAGTTTTATAAGAACCTTAGCAGCTTTTTAAAAAAAAAAAGTAAGTGTTGGACTCAGGCATTCAAGGTATGTCTGCTTCTGGTAGAACATACCAAATTATTAATTTGGATTACCAATTCCTACTTTCTAACATAACAATGTAGTTGTACATAATTGAGGGTTTTAATTATAACTTCTAAGAAATGTTTATTTCTGAAAAAAATCACTTATCCTATCATATTATCAATGCTTATTGTTCATTTTATAAAATCCTTAATTATTTAGAAAGTTAACAGACTTACTGATAGCTATGATATGGTGCTTAGAACAAGTAAATTTTATTCTAAAATACCCATCAAAAGTAATCCTATGGAAAATAAAACAAACAAACAAAAACTCTCTTACAAACCTCATTTCCTTTGCTTCCAGCACTTGATTTCATTTCTTTGGGTTGCTGAAGAAAAGAACACAAGATTTATCTTCAGGGAATTAGAAGACAGAAGTATTTACTAGTGATATTTGTGACAGTGGTTTCATTAGTATATATGAATAGTGATGATCTATTTGTGCTGTACATCCTTTGAAAATCAATATATTTCTTCCAGCCAGCTGTTCTGTTTCAAAACAGCAAATAATTACGTTATAGTAAATGGGTAGTAAAACCAGAATTTGCTTCAAGTCAGTTTGTATTTGGCTATTGACTTTGTGTATGATAAACATAATACTTATACCCAACACTTGAAACAGGCTCTGATTATGCTTCTAAGTAAATCCATTCAGCAAAATATGTTTTTGCTTTGTTTTTACAAGGCAATTAACTGATGAGATTTGAGTAAAGTTGCATAAGTAAAGTTGGTAAGTACTGGCAAACTTACCAAATGTCGAAATTCTACAGACAGACTTCCATTTGCAGATTCATCCATATTCATAGCTTTGACATGAGTACCACACAGAACAAATCTACGATTGCTAGAAAACACAATAATGTAAGCAGCAGCAACAAAAATAATGAATAATAATTCAAGAAGTTTCATAATTTAATTTTCTTACCTGGCAGTTGAAACGTTCCTTAAAAAAAGAAAAAAAAAAGAAAAAGAAAAAAAAGAAAAGATCTTGTAAATCAGGGTATATCTAACATATACCTTCACTCTATAATGTAATTTAAGGAAAACAGACTAAATTATGAGTTGGTCTTCTTTTTTTAGTTACTTGGTCTTCAGGGCTGTGCAAAACGGCTGTATTTTGATTCAGTTTCAGATTCAGCCATTTTGGAGGACAGTGATTCGTTTCGGTGTTTCGGATCACTGTCCTGTTCTGTTTCAGCCAAATCTCCTCCGAATCTGTTTCAACCAGGCTGCAAGGAAAGCTTTGCACAGTCCTACCTACTGAGCCAGGCGGGACTTGGGGCCGGGGGCTTGGGGCCCCATTGGGGAGCAGGACAGGGCCATGAGTGGCTTGTTTGGGGGAGGGGGAGGGCCACTGCCCTCCGCGCAGGCAAGGAGACCGCTTCATGGATCTCTAATCCCTGTCACACCAGGTTGTGGGGCAGGGAAGCAGCGCAGAGCAGCAAGAAAGCCTGCTGGTCCCTGCTGCGTGACTCGGCTCCGCAGGGAGCAGAGATCCATGCTGAGGTCTCCTTGCCACTGCTGCCTGCCCAGTGATGGGGGGCTGTATGGGGCGGGCAGCAATGGCGAGGAGACCCTGGCACAGATCTCTGCTCCCTGCAGAGCCAGGTTGTGCGGCAGGGATTTCCTAGCCCCCCGTTCGATTCCCCAGCTCTCTGATCATTCCCCCAGTTCTCCCCAGGGGGCGCGGGCCCCTGGATCTGCACACGGGGTTTCAGCAGGCTGCTGCTGCAGGCTGGGGCCAGCTGCAGTCTTCTTGGTGCAGGCTGCGCCAAGTGGCTGCTACTGGCCCCATCCTGCAGTGACAGCCTGTTGAAACTCCATGCGCATATCAGGGGCCTGAGCTGGGGAAATGATTAGAGATCTGGGGGAAGTGATCAGAGCTGGGGAATCTAACCAGGAGTTAGATGTCAATATCAGATCAGTCCTTCTCCTCATCTTTCTTCTCCCTCTTCTTAGTTTTTTGTTTCCTTGCAAGCCTGGCTCCAAAACTTCATAATTCTCCTAAACATTTTGGAAACATTTTGGTGCCTTCTGATTCATTTCGAAGCTTTATCGGAGCCTTCCATTTTGATTCAGATTTGGTGTTTAGGGCACTGAAATGGCCCGAAATACCTCCGAAACAAAATGGCTGCAGAAATTTCGCACAGCACTATTGGCCTTCTATCAAAAACATGGACACAATGTCATTAGTGATAGGGTTTACTAAGTGCCCCGCCAGCCAGAATTTTCACTATCAGAACTGTATGTGCCCATCCAAATGCATCATTCTGTCTAACTGTTTGCATCTGTGTGTTTTAGGGAAATGCAGGCATCTGTACAGTAGGGCACAATACCTAGAAGGCATGCACACAGCAGCAACATGAGGAGGCAATACCCTCTCTTTGTCCTATTGGACAAAGAGATGGAAGGAAGGCAGGAGGCAGGGCAGAGTGCACCTTATTGTTGAGTATCTAATTCAGAGTTGCAACAGCTTGCTTTTTCAAATGCTACGAAAGGACTTGAAGGCACCCAAATAGAGTGTTTTAAATACACTAGCTAAAAAAATTTAGGTGTCCTGTCTACTTTGTGTTAATATAAAAAATAAGGAAGGAATACTGAAGTATTTCAGTAAAGCAACTGTGTGCCTGCCTCTGTCTCTGGAAGGACAAAATTAAATTAACCAGCTATAGTTACTAAATCAGGGGTAGGCAATTATTTCAGATAGAGGGCTGCTTAACAAGTTTTGGCGAGCTGTCGAGGGCTGTATAGGTAGCCCTGCCCCTTGACAGTTGCCCCAGCCCCTGGTCACCACACTGCGACCAGAAGTCCTGCCCCCTAACCCCTGACCTTTGCCACTGGAAGTCCCTCACCTTGTTGACCCCACCCCCAAATACTCCTTTTGGGAGGGGAGGTTGCCATCTTAGAACCAGAAAAAACCCAAATCATATACTAGAAGTCAAACACCTACTATATTTTAATTTTATTACAAAAAATATTTGTCATGACTCAAAAATAAAGTGTGTGCATGTATGGTGGGATGTGGGAGTGTGTGTGGGGGGGCATGGGGTATGTTGGGGTGTATCTCTATGTCGATGGGAGTTGTGGGGGCAGGGTGTGCGTATGTGGGTTTGAGGGAAGGTGGGGGATGTAGGGACCCCACACACACTCCCCCCATGGTGTGCAGCCCCCACTGCCTGGCAGCAGCAGCAGGCAGGGAGGTCAGGGTGCTCATGCCCGGGAAAGGCACGGCTTCAGCCAGCACTGTGCGGAGGGAAGGAGCGGAGCTGCCTTACCACTGGGGCTCTGTGCCGTGTGCCTGCAGCTCCAGCACTCACAGCAGGGGAAGCCCCGTACTGAAGCCTGCTGCCTCCCCCACTCCCTGCTGTCCAGGTCCCCGCACTCCGCTGGGAGTGGAGGGGGCCTTGCCCCTGCTTCCCTGCAGAGTCCAGCACAGGGTTTCCCCTGTGGGAGTGCAGGAGCTGCAGGCGTGGAGGCAGTGGGGGCTGCACTCCATTGGGGGGGAGTGTATGGGGGGGTCTCTACATCCCCCCCCTCCCTCACATGCCACACACCCACACCCTGCTCCTGCTTCCGCTTTGGGTGCAGGCTCCACCACGTGCGTTCCCGCTTCTCCTCAGCTGCAACTCCACCCCCGCCTCCACCTGCCCTGCCACTTCCCTACCTGCTGCCCTGAGCAAGCAGTTTCCAGCTACAGAAGGAGCCCCACCCAATAGCTGCTGGCCAGACTGGGCCCTTCCGCCCACGAGGGTGGGAGCAAGGCCCAGTAGGGTATGTTGGGGGGTTGTACACATGAGCACCTTGCTCCCACCCTTGTGGGCAGAAGGGCTAGGCAGGATGCAATTTGTTGGGGGGTGCTGCCGGCCAGATGAAAGTGCCTGGCAGGCCGAATCTGGCCCACGGGCCATATTTTGCCCACCCCTGTGCTAAATATATATCACCAGTCCACCAAATATATATTTAACTGTACTGCCCGAAGTTGATTCACTGAAATCAACTGGACTATTAACAGAAGTAAAAAGTGTATGTATGTGTAAACCATATTTTAGGGATTATTATGCTACTAACTGGTTACAAATTCAGTTAGAAATAATAATATGTGGAAGGGCTAAAGTTCTGCTGAGAAGAGCCACTGAGATACCTAAGCTCCCTTTCTCTCAGAACTGTAGAAGTTACTTGTAATGTGTTAATAAATCAGTGTAACCAGCTTTCTTCAAGTATAGGAAACTCAGGGAGATATTTAAATCTCTTATGAAACCCCAAACTCATGTCAGGTTCACTTGTGCATGAGAAACTTTTAGTGAACCTGGGCTCATTTATGAACCTAGCCAAAACTCATCAGTTGCAAATGACTTTGCCTTTGAGGTTTTTGGTTTATGTAAACCCTAAACTCAAAGACGACAAGCATATGACTCAAAAGCTGACGAAAGCTTTTGTATGAATCTGCTGCTGCCAACTGAGACAATCAAGTTTTACATAAATCTTGTAAAAATTTTCACTATAGAGATGTTGCCTCAAATTTAAAAAAAATAAGTAAAAAATGTTGTTTTTTTTAAAAAAGAAAAGCTCTAAAAACAATCTTTCACTAGTTATGGAACCTAATAAAATTATTGGAACCTAATAAAATGATTGGCTATCCTCGTAGGTCTTTGGTTTAAAAAACACATCTTTCAAATCACAGAGACCAGCAAATATAGGACTTTGAGTCCTGCCTACTTTAACAGACAAGTGTATATCTTTTTTTCGAAGTTACTTACTTGTCAATAGTTGCTTTCACTCTGATCTGGTAGTTCAGTTCAGGCAATTTAATTAGCAGTCTGGGAAATTAAAAGTGTGAATGATCAAAACCAGAAACTCTTATAAAGTTATTTGTCACCAAAGGGCTGGTAGTCCCTAACCAAAAGTCTCTAAAAATATCTTATTTTAAAGAAAACAAGGCCAAATATCTAGAGATGCATTAAAATAATTTGAAGGATCCCAAGTTTAGGAAGAGGATATGCATTAGTTCAGGGGACAAGCACCATTTCCTCCATTGTAACTGCAAACAAATTGAAAAAAAATAGCAAGGGACTAGATTATAAATACATTTATCCTTACAGCAACATTGAGGGGAACACCATGACAGCAGATGTGAAGGGTTCATCTACCTCACAAACACAGATGGTTTTGTTCCTTCTATTCTTTCTGCTGTGAGTTCCACTGCCACCTGGTTTTTATTATCAGAGGAGGTAACAAGCTGTTAAAAATGCAGGGAGCCTCCAGAAATGTAGCGTGGTATATTGTTAATGTGCTAAACTACTCCTGAAGCTAGACCTAAGCTTGTGCAGTGTTAATTGTTATTTACGTGGTCTACAGCGCCACTAGAGCAATAACGCAATAAAGAATTCTTAAAACTGTGACTGGACAGCATTCTGAAGATCTTACTGGACAGAATCTGTTATCTTCTCACTCTCGATACTGCCGTACTCTACATGTTGTCATGGGTAGTACAGTCTAGTACTCTGTAAGATTTTATATAACAGAACTCTCACTGAAGTCAATAGGATTTATGTTTGAGTATATTCTCCAGGATTTGATTTGCTTTTTATTAAATTTTGGAACTGTTAATATAACCGTCCTCTACTTACCTTAATTTAACAGTGAACTGTATTAAAGTTTTAAGTACCATTGGTCTCTGGGGGTGGGTTGGCATGCAGGGCTGCTTTTCAACCACAAATGAACTAGTTTGAAAGGAAACAGATACAATGGTTAGAAACACACAAATGTACAGACCTACTCAAAAAGCCACAGAAAAGCACAATGCTTTCATCATGGATGCAGATTTCCCTGTGTGCACTGGAACAGCAAGAGTACATCCAAATCAGCTCCTAGCTTTCTATTTACTATTTGTGAGTTATTTCTATAAAAAATTGGTTAATGGACTATATTAAAAACAAAGGCATTAAATAGTGCTGAGCTATCCCATTCAGTTACAACGCACAGGAAAATGTCTTAACAAAAAATGGAGCAGGGAAATACACTATGAAATAAAAATAAATACAATGATCATTTTACATTTTTGGCATTTTTCAAAAACAAATGGCCAAATTCTGTAAAGAGACCAAGCCAGTCCTAGGTATACATTAGTGATTCAGTCACGTGGTGCATCCATAGCACAGCCAAAACAGTAACAATGAAGTATTTACTTTTATATTACATAAGAAGCAAATACAAGGAATAAGAGATCGTAGGAGGCAGTCCCATGGTCAAGAAGAGGGGCACTGAAGAAACTGGCACTCCCTAGTCGCATACCAGGCGTTATTATCTGAGGCATGTGGACAAGTCCCATTGAAATCAATAGGAGTTGTGTCTGCATTATCCAAAGCCAGAACTTAACATGTTAAAGCTGAACCAGCGAAGCTGTTGAGCACCCACAGCTCCTTCCAGCTCTAATTAGAATTGTAGATGCTGACCCCCTCTGAAAATCAAATTCTAAAATCATTGCAGGTATGCTCCTTTTTACTCCCTTCATCTTAATGTTTCCTGCATTTTAAATTACACAAGTTACAATAATTTACATACTTCCGGAAAAGATTGTAGAGCAAGAAGTTGACTCTTTCCAGCATCTGAGGTCTTTGCAGTGGAATAGGATCCCCATCATACGTCAGTTTAGTCAGGAGCTCCTCAAGTTTTTCTAGTTGTCTTCTTACTTGAAAAAGACTCTCTGCCAACAGTGTAAAACTATTGTAGAATAAAGATAAGGCACATTCCTTAACATTAGAATCTGCTGTGTTAAAATAAGCAATTTAAGATCTAGTTAGAGAAATCAGCATCTGTATTGATTGATGTTTATTAGTGTTATTGAGGTAACATGATCTTAGCTGCTATTTACATAGATATATATACCAAACTGCTCCTATTCTGTTTTGCAGATAAGCACTTTCTCAAGAAGTATAATTTGCACCAATTTGAGTCTATTTTTGATTTACAGGAAGAAATATGTATATAAGCAAAATGTTTATAATCATGCAAACGCTATCTTTTCACCATAGATTAGTGTTCTTGGAGGACATGTTCTTTAAGAGAATTACATTTTTATCCCATGGAAGTGTTATGAGGGAAATGAGATGGCCAATCTCAACAACATAAAGAGGATGACTGAAAATTTAATGCAAACACACTTAGCTAATAGTTCACTTTTAACAGAGTTTGTGTGGCTGAAATCCTACATGACCCTTAGAGCAGTATCCTCCTCTCACATAATTAACTGTATAAGATAATTAATAATTCTCCTGTGCCTCTAAGGGATTTTAGGATTTGTCCTACTGTCATCCATCACAAATTTGCATAGCTCCCTAAAACAGCATCAGAAAGAGTTGGTTTAAATAAATTGGAAAAAATATTTTTCCAATTTTTTATTTCCAAAATAAAATGTTATTTTTTTCTGAAGAAGGATGAAATTCTTTTTGGTATTCAAGTAACACAGTTGTTAATTTTTTTAAGTATTTTTCTCCTTTCTTTTTTCCTTCTATGCCAGAAACTTCCTGGGAAATAAAACATTGTTGGAAAGTAGTGAACACAGCAGCAATGTTCTATGCCTCAATTATAATTGTCAAACTTAATTTATGTCCCTATTTGTAACTTGCAATGTAGATGTGACAACTTCCTTTTGAAATTTGTGTTGCTCTCAAATATAGGGCATTTTCTCCCAGATAGCTCCTGTTTAGTGCAATGAATGACCTACTGTTTCAAGTCTGGCACTTAGTGAGTCAAAGCATGAAATCTTTACCTAGTTCTTACCCAAATAAAACTCCCACTATTTTGAAGTGACGACCTCAGTAAGCATAGTTCTTACTCAAACAAAACTCCCTTGAAGACATTTATCTGGGACACTTGTTAGGTTTTGGTTTGACCATCTGCAAGAGTTTCATCTCTATGCATTATATTGTAGTGATATTAATTCAAAGAGAAAATTATTCTTGTTAGTTGACTGCATTTTAGTTATTTACTTCCTTAGCTGCTAATATAACAGGAGTATGCTCCGCTAACTCATATGACAACATCTCTGATGGGACCCTGTCTTTTATATGTGTGCTGGGCTTCTGTGACGCAGCAGACTTCCTGTGGTTTTCAATTAAATTTTAAATTAACTGCAGGTTTACCAGTTCTGGAGTTGATCAAGCCCACCATGTAGAGGGCCTCCAATGCTGGCAATTTGCTGGCGCCTCTTCCAATCTGAGAGCTCTTCAATTAGCATGTTGTTCATCAAGACATCAATTTCATCTATTACCTGCACTATTTTACTGAGAACTTCCTAAAAGGAATAGGGACAGTGTTACAATCTGTCCACAAAGGACACACACAAAATTTATAAATTAGTTCAGTTATAACAATTACTGTAATATTTAATGTTAGGAAAATATGAAAATACACAGTATTTTTTATCCTGTTATTAAGCCTCTATCTTGAAACAGTATGTTCACATTACTGGGAATTTAAATACCTCATGTTCTAAAGCTTATGAATTAATTTTAATTTCTGAGACAGTGGCTGTACTTAGCTCATATTACTTATGATCTTCTTAATCTATGATTCACCCCTAATGTAGATTAGTCTTGAATATTAACTATGTATTTGTTTACTTGTAATTTTTGTGGAGTGTATTCAGATAACAACTCCAAGAATTTGATATTTACAAGTAGTGTTAAGATCAAAAGGTCCCTTCTACAACTCTAAATTGTGTCTCATATCATTTTCTTTAACTGTGAATATATCACATAGAAATACATGAAAATGGACAAACTGTATCAACCCAAACAAATAACCTCTAATGAAGTGTTTTTCTTATCACCAAAGAAGTTGGTCTAGTCATGTTCACAACAAACAGTTTGCATACAACTGAATTCAGAGATTTGATGCTTGGTTTTGTAGTTACAGAATTATGTTTATCTGCAGAGCTTTCCTGACTGCAAAAGCTGTAACTTGAAAACAAAAAAGAATAAGTCCAGGTCAATGCAAAGAGGCTCCTGTGAGCTGATGGGTTCTCTCTTAAGCTCCAACTGGTGTGCACAGGTTTATGCTTTTAATAGGTCTCTTTAAAATTTAGTTATTTAACTACTTGCCAAATAACACACATGCACCTACTGCAGCAATCCTTGTATATCTAGAATACAGAATCACTTATACCTGCTAGTTAAATTTGTGCAAGTGCTTCCGTAAATTTGATTGATTAGTGTGGGAAAAAGGGGAAGAAAGCAAATAAACCACGGATGACACGTTACCAACCTTTCTCTTGTAGTCTAAGGTATTGAGCATATCCTGCAACGTCAACATTTCCTGTTTAATGAGGGCGCTGTTTTTGTCATTCTGTTCTACAGGGGAAAAGGAAAAAAAAAAATCATCCGGTAAACTGAATGTAAAATGGGGGGGGGCATGTTTACATATAATGGGAGGGAGAGGGAAAAACTCTGAGCAGATTAAATTCTGCTAGCTATCTTATAATGTTTGTAAAGTTATATAATATAATTTTAGCTGAATGGACTAGCTTTAATATGAATTTAAGGGTAATTATGAAATTTGGGTATTTTTTTATTAGTAGGACAGGAGTGGGAAGACATAATATATAGAAATGTACTAGTTTTGTGTGTCAGTATTTACTCTTATTTGGTATACAGTTTTGCTTTGGATAAGAGTTAAGTGACTTATTCGCTGTGTACTTTAAAGTGTGTCCCAAGCTTCACTAACAAAACTAAACTTTTTTGGAGCCGTAAGGCATGTCTATGCCACTTCTGTACTGAGCTCAAGAGCACCTCCAAGACACGCATTGCCAATTTGCTTTCAGTTGCATGTACTAAATCCTAGAAATGAGGCAAAGTAGTTGCTTTAGATGCCCTAAGTACATACCACTAAATGTACCCTAGAAACAGAGTATAATAGCAGTGTTGGGGGCTGAACTCAACACTGCTCTAAAGCAGATATATTGCTTTGTTTCCTGAATTTGATACATGTGCCATGGGAGTGATCAAGCAGGGCCTTCTTGGTGGTATGCCCCAGCTTGGCAGAGACATAGCACATAAATCCTTAATGTGAAATACATATTTTCATAGATTTCAGAGACATTAGGGCTGGAAGGGACCTCAGAAGATCATCGAGTCCAGCCCCCTGCCCCAGGGGCAGGAAGTCAGCTGGGGTCATAGGATCCCAGCAAGATAAACATCCAAATTTCTCTTGAAGGCATTCTAAGTAGGTGTTTGAACCACCCCCAGCAGCAGTCTATTCCAGACATTGGGGTCTTGGACTGTAAAGAAGTTCTTCCTTATGTCCAGCCTGAAACGGTCCTGAAAGAGTTTGTGACCATTTGACCTTGTCATCCCATGGGGCGCTCTGGTGAACAGATGTTTCCCCAGATCCTGGTGAGCACCCCTGATAAACTTATAGGTGGCCATCAGATCATCCCTGAGCCTGCGCTTTTCCAGGCTGAAGAGTCTCATAGCTCTCAGCCTCTCATCATAAGGTCTGTTTTCCTGACCTTTGATCATGCATATGGCTCTCCTCTGGACTCTCTCAAGCTTCTTCACATCCTTTTTGAACTGCGGAGCCCAAAACTGGACACAGTACTCCAGCTGTGGCCTCACCAAGGCCGAGTACAACGGGAGAATGGATAAGTGTTTGCCAGTAGTGAATGGATGCAAACAGGTTACACATTTGAGATGAATCATTTACTGATGTTAATCTTCATGGGGATTTTGGAAAAATTTACAGTTCTGCGTATTGGTCATTGTGCAGTGCATTTCTTCCTGTTCACCTACTGGCTTCAAGTCTATCTGGGTTCATACCCTTTTACCCTGCAGCAAAATCTTCTCTATCTCTCTCACACTACTTTAAAGAAGAATTTGGTTTCAGCTGTGTCTGTGCTGACTAAGGCATGGTGCTTCCCATTTAAGTCTGTGCTCTCATGAAGTGGAGTTTGAGACATGCTGGGTGCAATTTCACGAGCAATTAATGTGAAGCAATAAACTCCGGAGCTGTTTGAGCTGGAGTACACTACTCCTGGGTGCAGTGTCTACATGTGCCTCTGGGACAGTAGCACTTTGAGCTGGGGTGGAGATGGCCTGGGCTAGCAGCAAGCTCAGGGGGGAGGGGTGGTTAGCCCTGGGCTCTGGGTGGCAGTGGTGGGCGGTGGAGGGGCTTGCTAGAGCATGAGGGTGCTGAACATGCAGAGCCACGTGGCTAGGTGGCAGCAATGAGACTGGCCCCTGCCCGGTCACCGTCTACACATGTGTTTTGGTGCAGTTTATTACTCCGCCATAAGATAGTACTGTCCCCGCTGTCTTATGGTGGAGTTATTTATTTACTGTCCCCTAATACTGCTGCAAAAGTAGACAGCAATGCTTTACTGCAGAGCTAATTAGTTTACTCTGCAGTAAAGAGCACATGTACACACACCCACTGAGTTCCAGTCTTATACAACAGGTACACCTAAGAACTCAGGGGCTGTAAGACCTTGATTTCTCTGTACTGATGGACCTCAGTTTATCTTTGAATGAGATAGCTCCATGCAGAAGTTGTTTCTGCATGGCAGGCTGCAGATCCTGGAACTATACAGACTGCTCAAGCATGTATGCAAAATGTTTATCAGTTAGTTATTACCCACTAGGTCAAAAAAATGAAACAAATAAAAAAGTTGAGACAGTGGCTAAAAAATTATTTCACATGACTATGTAATAGGGAAACAGTGGAATCCTTCATATCCCATTCCTTAAGAGGAAGGGCCATGTCAAACATTAAGAATTTTGTTTTTGTAAGTTTTCTAAATTAAAGAGATCATCATTTCCTCAACTTGGTAAAACTGCTATGCTTAGGGAATATGCAAATGAGCAATGAAGACATAATTAACTTGTAACTCCAGAAGTGTATTTTATGACACAGATTACAAATTCACATAGGGCATGTCTACACATGCATTTACTCCAGCCTAGATTTACTGTACAGTAAGTGTTTTTGGGTAGATGGCTACACATGCAGTGATTAGAGAGATTTGCTCCCAGTTCCTGCAGCCCTGTAATGCGTCCCTGCAATGCGTCCCTGCAGCCAAAGGGGAAGTTCCAGGCTCCCCCTGGGTGCTAGCCCACGGGCTGGCAGGGAGTACTGGACCAGGAGATAGCTGTCTCCTTGCCCTAGGGGGCTGCCTGCTGCTGGGGCAGGGACAGTGTCCCCCTGCCCCGGCAGCAGGGAGCTCCTGGCCCTGGCTCCCCAATCAGGGGCACTGGGCTTAGAAAGATCTGCAGGAGAGTGTCTCGCTGCTAGCTGCCCCACTGGTGAGTCGGGGCAGGGGGCTGGGACCTGCCTATCCCCTGCAGCTCTTCCTAAGCCCCATGTCTCAATTACCTGATTGGGGCATGGGGCTGGGACCTGCCCCTGACTGACAGTTCCTGGCCAGCCCCAGAGGCTGGCTGCATGTGCAGCCTGTAGCAGGCTCGAGACTGCCTGAAACAGGACAGTCCCCAGCCACCTCCAGGTTGCATGTGCTTCCCCACACAGTCTGGGGCTGGGTGGGACCTGTCTTGGTCAGGAGCAGGTCCCAGCCAGCCCCAGGCTGGGTGGGGAACTGTCCCCATGCAGGAAGCTCCCAGCCCCTGCTCCGCAATTATAAGTGCAATCGCGGAGTTGGGGTTGCGGAACTTATTCCCTGCGCAGCTCCATAAGTATGGAGCTGGGAGGGGGAACAGGCTCGAGTAACCTACACTTTCCCATAGAATCTTAACATAAATAATAAAAAGGCTTACCTAGACTCTGTATTGTCTTATATCTGAAGTCAAATTCTTCTTGCAGATCTTCTAAGTATTTGACATCTTGTTCTGTCATCTTTTCAATAAATAAATAAATAGGATGTAAGGAAGTGTTCACATCTGTCAGGTGCTAATTTATGTTAAAAATAACTAATCTCTAGTGAACTTCTCAGGGTAAATTTAATACTTCCCTTTTCTGTCATTTGAGAATCCCTACGACTCGATACAACTGTTTATCTACTAGTCACTAACCAAAGGAATGAAAGTATGTCACCATATTACATATTTATATAAGGGGAGAGAGACATTTTTTCAGTTTGTGGCCCAGAAAAGTCAAATATTTTATCCTCCCTCTCACTCTGAAATTCCTATTGATACAATCAGTTCCTTTTATCCCACTGCTATGGTAAAATTCTCACAAATTCTCACAAATACCTGGACCTTGTATGTAACTGAACATATAGTTTAGTTTCATGTGTCAGTGCTCCAAATAGTTATTCACATCCATTTAGTTTATCAATTTGTTTGAAAGTATTAAATTACCAAAATTAGTTGAGACTGTTTTTCATTGACCAAAGAACACACACATAATTGTTTATTGGCACAACCCCGCACACAGTACTCTGAACAAGCCCTCCTCTACCTCTCCTCTTCATTGAGGCTAGTCCCAATGGTAATTTGCTGCTGTTGATTATCATTCTTAGAAGAGTAGTTTCACTTCAAAGAATGAAGAGTTACTTTCACAAACTTTATAAATTAAAAATTAAATTTTGACTGTGCATTTGAACACACAATAACCTCTCAAGGAATATCAGGATTTGCATATGCATATCCAAGAAAAGCATTTGTCCTTCCAGGTTAATCCAATAGCGAATCTGCAAGACAAAGCACTTCTACCACTCTGTAGAGACATAAATACAGGGTAATTTCCCTTCTTTAAACAAAGAGTTCCAATTTTTTATTTATTTTTATAAATTTTATTTAGCCTATTTAAACAGTTAATTTTTTCATTGTCCTAAGTCCAAACAGGCCAAGTACTGGTTTGTATAACAGACCCAGCACTTCGGGTACCAGATTATCTCATGATATGATCATACCACACAAAAAACCTTATACCTCAGCATTTAAGTTAATGGACAATTTTGTGTTGACTTCCACAGAACAGTTAAAGTTGTACCTAGGACCAACTTGATTACACAGGTAGGTAGCCACCAACTTTATTTTTAGATAAAGGTACATTGAACTCTGGGCAAAATAGTGAAACAGTTACAGGTTTGGCTTTTTTACAGGGTTTCACTTTCAGGCTATAATACTGAAAAGGGTCGGAAGACTCATTAACCATCTCATAAAAAAGGTGATTTGTGAACAGATTTATCAGACAAAGGGCTATAGACAGTGCTGTAGCAAATCTTACATTTTTTTAGAAGTCCTTCTCCATGTCACTAGCAAAAAGGAGGCTCTGACTTAACACTTATGCAGAACTATCGGTTTGGAGTTAATCAGGGCTAGCTGCATTTTTGGAAAACTAAAAACCCAGTCTCTTAAGTCACAACTTTCTCACAGAAAGCCAAATCCTTTTTTTTTTTTTTTTTTTTACCTCCTGCGTAGGGACTAAACCTTTAAATGACAGGAATAAGGTATATATGCACAAGCACATTCACAGGTGGCTATTTTCTACGCACAATTCAAGCACATCCTATAAAAGTATTGTTCTTTTTAATTGTTCTCATTGTGCCCCTCCATGCACAAAGGCTGTGGAGTAGGCTCTATAGTTTACCACAGGTCTACGTTCACTCCGTTGGGCTGAGGTAGGGTGACAGGCTGCTGGGCTTCTTTCCCTTGGTTAGAATCTAAAAAAATTCTCTTCCTTGGTGTCTCCCTTTACAATTAAACTAAGAACAACAATGCAGAATCCTTATTCTAAGATTCCTCTTTAAGCTAAGCTGTTTCTAGTATCTGCCCTGTTGAGCTTCACATTCTCTGTCCTTACTTCTCCACCTTTTACTGATCCAGAAAAAGATGTCACAAAGAAGCCTTGCCTTTCCTTACTTTCCACTAATAAAAAAACATTTCTGAGTTGATGCCACCAAGATCTTCTTCAACTGGATGTGTGGCTTGGTCTGCAGAAATAAATGTACAGCTCTGTGCAGAGTCCTAGACCCTGATTCTGTGTCACAGGGGGTGCGTCTACACAAGATGTTTGTCACTATGGCAATGTAGTATCAGCGGGCATGAACAGTGACGCTGACGCTACTGCGCAGTAGCAACAAGCTACTATGCAGTAGCTCATTGATACTGTGCTGTAGTGTGGGGAAAGGGCTGTGCAGCATCAGGACTGCACAGTAACACCAGTTACTGCACAGTCATTTAGTACTTGCTTAAGCAAGTAACAACTGCACAGTCTGGCACATGTGTAGACATGGCCAGGGAGTGGCTATGCCTATGCTGCCATCATTGCTGCGATGACAGCTTGTATACAGATTTCCCTCTGTGGCCAACCACAATTTTGAGTATCCACGCTTCATATTCTATATTCTATACCATTTTGGCTACCACAGTATACAACTTTGAGTAACCACGGTTTTCCGTGGCCATGCATCAGCTCGCCACTTGCCATTTTTCCCATAAGCCTTTTGTCTTGCCAACCACTGTTTTGCCAACCATGGGAACTTTCAGGAACCTAACCCCAGTGGTTAGCAAGGGAAACCTGTATACAGGCTGAAATACCTAGCTCTAGGATTGCTAGAAGCATGGCTATAGCGGCACAGATTTTAGTGCCAACTACATGTTTGGGCAGTTAACCTGAAGTGAAGTTACCTCAGGTATGTCTGGACAAGATGCAGGGATTGCTGTGTAGACTTACTCTGTAACATGCAACATACCTGGGCACTGTTCTTAATGGCTGATGCTTTGTGTTCCACATTTCTTTGTCTTTCTGAAACTACAGAGTTCTGCAATGACTTTTCCAGTGGCCCCTAGAAAATATTTGATATACAGTGTGTAAGATCTTTTTAAATATATGAAAACAGCAATTCCATTTCCCCTCACATAAAAAACTAGAGCTGTCCACCATTTGTGTGGTGGAGGGCTGCATGACCCATGGGCTGTAAACCCCTGGGCCACATAATACATGGGCTGCACGTGGGGGGCGGCCAGCTCTTCACTTCACTGTGTGCAGCCTGGCTCCACTCCTGGCTACATGTAGAGCCCAGATCTGCTTCTGCCCATGTGTGCAGCCTGGCCAGGCCCACTCCACTGCTGGCCATTCATGCTGCCCAGCTACACATGCTGCCCAGCTCTAGTACCCCACCTGTGTACAGAGCATGGGCAGCACAGACCCTTCCTTGGTCCTTCCACTGCACCACCCTTACTCCTAAGAGAGAGGCAGGAAGCAGAAGCTGGGAGAGAGTGGGAACCCAGAGCGTCTGGCCACATAGCAGCTAGAGCAATGCAGGGAGTGGTGGCCAGATGGGAGCCCGTGAGCCACCTGTTAACCCCTCATGGGCCACATGCAGCTTTCAGACCACCAGTTGAACAGTTCTGTCCCAGACAACTAGCTTCACCAAAACTTCTAGCACAAAAGTAGAATTTGGAGTCAGGTCTTTAGCTGCTGTATAGCAGTACAAGTTTCACAGACTTGTAAGCAATACATGCTAGATTTTGAGATCAGAAAGCTAAAAGGACATGATCAGTACTGGCAACATTTCAAAATAGAAAAGAATGTTTAAAAACAACAAAATGCAATCTGAAAAATATATTCTTGTTATATTGCTGCAAAATGGTGTTATTGACCTAATAATGTAATAAGTATATAAATCATGTATACAAGCTGTTACTAAAATGCAGTATTGTATATACAACTTATTTATAGAACAGATTCACCTTAAAAAAACACTTACCTTCTACCAGTACAGTTTTTCTAACACACATATTCTATATTGTATTTACCTGAATCCAAGACAACCTTGAATATAAGACAATCCCCCATAATCAGATTTTATTTATTAATATATATTAAGCAGTGGCAGGGAACAGTGGCAGGGAGGCAGGTGATAGAGGAGCAGGTGGTGGGAGTGGCAAGTGGGGGGCGGGGCACGCGGTAGGGGAGGCAGTGGGAGGGCAGACTTCTAACCGTGACTCAGGCTCTGGCCTCACTCCAGCCCAGGGCATGAAGCACATACTTGCAGCCCCAGCCTGACCAAGCAGCAGCAGCAGCAGCATGGCATCACCACCACTGCTACTGGGCTGGGGCAGAGCACATATGTGCTCTGTGCCCCAGCCCAGAGTAGGGCTGGAGTCTGTTGGAGCCAGAGCCAGCACAAGCAGTAGCAATGGTTGCGGGGCCAGGCAGGGGGGCTGAGGCTGGAGAAAGGAAAGGCAGGCTGGGGCAGGAGGGGGAAGACCCAGAGCCACAGCAGCTGCCTGCTCCTCCATCTTCTTGTACTCAAATCTTATGAGGGGCTTCGCCCCGCCATGTTAAATGGTTGGTGGGTGGACCCTCATCTTGGATTCAAGTCCATATACTACTTACAGATTTTTCTCATTAAAAAAAAAACATTAACAAGTGTAGCATGGTATATCATGTTTATATTTCATTTTTAACAATGGGATGTGTTTTAACCATTCTGAAAGTACTGCTTTCCTGAAAGTTCATTCGTATAGTTTCTAAAGATTAGCTGTAACATAGGGAAAACACTTACGACTCTGGTCTTGTAAACAAATGTGCTTAATTTTTAGCAAGTGCACAAGTGTTTGGGACCAACAGGCTAAATATTGCCTTCAGATATATTCACTAATGGCTTCATCATGTAAGGACAGACATGGCTCAAACAGATTAATGAAATACAGTATGTTACCTGTACAGGCATGCTTGCTGCAGCTAGTATTCTTCTCTCTTCTCGTAAGCAGTTTGAGATAATAACGGCTATGTGCATAGGATTACCATGGTATTTCCCCTGAAAACAAAAGTAAATACTACTATAATAACTAAAAGAAATTACAGTAATACAGAAATTATGTATATCATAAATCAATTGAGAAAATATTTGTGTTACTTGAGAAGATTCTGTAACATTTCCAGCTATTGCAAACACTGGCTCAACTATGGAATAGTGTTGTTATTTTGGGAACCCTCATGTTGATTTGTGTGTCAGCTATTTGTGTGTCAGCCAGAACAGCGTTTCTCAGCCCATATGTTGCAACCCAAATGTGGGTTGCAAGAATATATAAAAGGGTTGTGAACATTCATGGAAAAATAGGGAAAATCACTGATTTTCCTTGATTTCCTTTAAAGGAGAAAAACGAGGGAAATCACGAGTTTCCCTTTGCAAGTTGGCAGAGTTCCAGTCTGCAAGGGGATGCTTGGGCCTGGGGAAGCAGGAGGAGGGTGATCAAGGAGGGTGCCACGTGCATGTACACCTGCACATGGCAGCCAGGCAACATGGAGAGCAGCTCCCTGCAGGTAAGTCTAGGGGGCAGGGGGAGGGGCATAGATGACACATCAGTGGGGCACGTGCGCAAGGAGTAATAGATGGGGTGGGGAGCAGGGCACACTGCCCTCACATCCCACAGCTACCCCTCAGGCTGTGGCTGTACCTCAGAGGGGAGATGGGTTGGCAGGCAGCATAGATGACCCAAGGGGAACAGCAGCAGCCAGGCCATGGCAGCAGACTAGAGCTGCAGCCCAGCACAGAAGCGGCCAGTGGTGGGAGAAGGTCAGGGCAGCATGGCCCCACCATCCATTACTCCTCATGCTGCTGGCAGCACAGCTGCCTTGGTGATCCTGGTGGTGGCAGTGGCAACAGCAAGTCTCAACACCTCGCTCCGGTTCCTGTCTGCTGGGCCGTGGAGGTGGCTCCTGTCCATGTTGGTCCAGCCAAGCTGTAGCCTCATGCCCACTGTGGGCACACACCCCTCCCTGCCTCCACCCTCTGCCCCACACACTGCAGGGCTGGGACCTGGGGGTGGGAGGCAGTGAGTCAGGAGTGAGGGGCACCAGCAGGGCTAGGGGACTACAAGTCAGGATTCAGGGGCACCAGCAGGGCTAGTGGGCTCCAAGTCAGGAGTCAGGGTACCAGCAATTTGCACTGTGCAAATTATACAATGATGAATGTCACTTGGGAGTAATAGAGGGCCACATGTTGATATTGCTGCTAATGTTTTCCTTTTGATGTTGATTTCTGTCTTTAAAATTAAGACTGTTGAGCTGCTTTAACTTGTGTGTAATAAGTATTTTGGGGGCAAAATACTTGTGCGTTTTCTATTTAAACTATTTACTGGGTCAGGACTGGCCATCGATGTTTACAAATGGGTCCTGGTACAAAAGAAGTTGAGAACCAGTGAGCTAAAAGGTTGAGAATCACCATTTCCAGAAATATCATTTGGATTTGTTTTGAATATGGTTAAATGATACTGTAGGCATATCACAATGTAGTGCTGTGTGGTGATACTTAAGCCACTTCTAAATGAAGTAGCTCCAGTAATAGAAGAAGTATGGATCCATTAATGTTGAGTTCTGCTTCCCAACAGGGCTATTGAGCCCAGATAGAGAACTATACTAATGTGGTTATACTGCTGCCTGCATTTTGCTAGGTAGACCTACCCAATGTGAAAACAGTGCTGTCACCCAGTGAGTTGTATGCACAAAGTCTCCCAATGATACTAATGCTAATTCCACTGAAAAGATGTTAATGCTAGTGGAAATTATTTTTTAAATGCTTATGCTGTGAAGTATGCCACTGATGCCACTGCACGTCTTCTTGAGAAGACTTGCTCAAACTTCATGCTCAGTCTTCATTCATATGGTTTTTACCATATTTACTTGAATATAAGACAAGCCTGATTATAAGATGTCCCCCCAATAATTAGATTCTATATATGGAAAATGTATACATTTGTTATAGTTCTCCAGGTATGCAATCTCATTATTGGAGGTTTGTCTTGAATTTATCAACCTCCCACTGCTACAGCAGGGAAAAAAGATCGGGGGGGGGGGGGGAGGGGTCACATAGCCCATTTGCCCTTCACCCCTCCCTTCTTCCATCTGCAGCCCCTTTCCCCCTTCTTATTGTCAGACCATGCTCTCCCTGAACACATAGAAATGAGGAACATATATGAAAAAAGTGACCTTGAAATAAACACAGCTGTAGCAATTTGCATATAACTACCCATAGACTTAGTCTACCCAGAAATTATGCATTTTACTTTTTTTTGAAAGTGCTGCAAGTTTTAGCACAGGTACTCTGTAACCACACTTTTAAGCAGCACTTTGGCACCTATTTATTTATAGTGCAAACTGTGCATTATATTAGTCCAAAGCCAAAAGGCTCAGGATTTACCATATAGTTCATTGGGCTGAGTCCCAGCAGATTCAAGCCATGGTGACCCCGCAGTTCAGCACTGCTCAAGTATGTATATATACTCCAAATACCTCTCCACCCCACAAAGGATTCATGTGCTAATTGCCCCCCCCCCCCACTCATGACAGGAACCAGGTGTTCTTGTCATGAATTCTTGGATCCTCCAAAAACTTATATGCAGATGAGGTGCAGAGCAGCTTGGTCTAGCTTTATTTCATGGAGGACAAGGCCACAATCATATGTGAAAAGCTAGGAGGGGAGGAGGGGAGAGAGGGATTCTAGGTGAACTCTTTGGGGCCCTGTTTGGTGATGTCTGCCAGCCATTAAAGGCTGGTGAAGAAATGGGAATAATTGGAAAATAGGAAAGAAAGGCGCAGCTCATCTGTGGGAGTGAAGAGGAAGTAAAAATGTATGCAACGCAGTGGCTCACCATGACTTGAAAAGAGTTGGCGCTGAGGGGGACTGTGCAAAAGTGGCACTATCACACATTTTGTTCAGATGGACTGCACTAACATATCCTTGGCAGGGGAACTACCATGACCATGATGTCAGCAGATGATGGCAGGGAAAGTACCCTAACCAAAATAATACAATTAAAATGGCACTGTGTAGTGGTGGGTTGCACCCTTCTCTGCTTGCAGACAGGAATCCCTATGAGAGCCTCATCGTTAGCTTCCTACTGGCCAGCTTACAGTGGGGGGATCTTGGCTACATGCTACCTTTGTGGAAATGGGAGACTCCGCCTTAGCTTGCTCCTGCAGTCATATGGCTGAGGGCAAGTGAAACTCAGAGGCATGCAAATCCTAAGTCTCCGGGTTTGGGCCTGCACATAGGATGCCTGCCAAAGGATTTGGAAGCATCTGAAGCCCCAGGCAGGGGCGGAAGATGCTTGCCAGTAGTATGTCCACATATGGTTCTTGAATGACTCATGGATTCGGAATTGATTTGGCTGATTTGACTTGGGACACAAAAAATTTTCTTTAAAAAATAAAGGCAGGGGGGAAGGGGGAGGAGGAGATAACATGATTTGGTTTCAGCCCAGGTGGTTTTACATACCTGGAAAGGGATATCCCCTTCTTCCTGGCCTAGAAAGACTTGGGCTAGGGACACACATTCAGAAAGCCCGAGCCTGAATTGATTTAATCTTTGTAGGTTAGTCTAACCTGCCTAGGTTGACCCAGTTTGCAATTGCACAGATATTCCCTCTGGACTGAAGAAATGTAGGCGCATGCCTGCAGTGGCTCAGGCTAGAAGATGGGGGGGCGCTAGAGCAACCCTACCTTCCCTACTACAATGCTGAGCTGGGTGGGTGTGGCCAGGCCTTGGCTGGACCTCTGATTAGGGAAAGGTGTAACCCCCCCACCGTGCCTGAACCGTCCCATGCTTTTTGCTGCTCACTGCTCGGGGCTGGGAGTGTTGCCAGCACCCAGCTAGCACTCTGAGGCAAAGGGGGCGTGTGCAGTGCATGCATCTGTTGATGACACTGAGCTTTTCAATCTCCCTCTCCCTGATTCTTCATAGTGTCTGCAAACCTGACAGGTGAGGGAGCCAGCAGGGGCTGATAACACAGTGTTTATTAGCCCATCAACAAAACAAAAGCCTCTCTCATTAGTGCAAGGTCTTCTTAAACAGCTTTTTCCAAGGAAGGAATAGTGGAACATTACCAGCTGACCTGTTGATTAGCTCCAAAAAGCCCTGTGCTGTCTGCCTCTCCCAGTGGAATTGGAAACACACAGACACCTCTCAGCATTAGCTAGCATACCACATGCCTAGGTTGTGTGGGACTGGGGTCCATGCTGTGGGAGATGGGAGGTAGGGAGGAATCCCTGCATGAGCAGCAAGCAGCGAGGGGGGGTTGGGACCTTAGGAGCAAAGCAGACCCTGCTGTACCTGAAGTCTCTGCTGGAGCTCTGGCTAGGGAGCAGAGTGTTGGGGCCAGCCCTGTTATCTGGAGCGGACAGCACAGCCCAGGGCTGCAAAGCTTGGGGACTTTGGTTTAACTTAAACCAGGAAGGGGTTTGGGACAGACATTGCATAAACTGGTTTGACCCAAATTAGTTAAGTCTGATACTACATTCAACAAGGTTTATCTCAAACCGGTTTCAGCAATTCTCAGACTGGTTTATGTGCACTGAACATCTGTTCTGTTACAGGTTTAAACTAGTTTGTGATCATTTAAACAGTTTTATGTGTAATGACTGATCCTAGCCTCGGTGTAGTTGAGGGTGGAGACCTATCCATTGCACTGTGGATGGGCATCTCTGCAAGAGTCTACTATAACCTCCCAGTGGGAGGACCTTAAGCTACACAATTTATGGCGATGAGGGATTGCGCTTGGGCTCTTCCTCTAGCTTGCTCCTATGGCCCTTTGGCTAGGGGCAAGTGAGACTAGGGGGCATCTGAACCCCACGGCCTCCGAGTTGGGGGTTGCACATAGGATGCCTCCCATGGATTTGGGAATATATGAAACCCTTGACTGAAGGGTCTGGGAGGTAGAATATTTGTCAGTGGTAGTGCCACGCAGACGTGAATGATTGAGCTCTGCTCCATTGATAGAATTCTGAACTGATTTGGCTAATTTGGCCTGAGACACAAAA